CATGTAGGAAATTCCATAACATGCCAAAAACTCATTTCTTGCCACTTTTTGCACTAGTGCCTCGCGGGGCATGGCGCGGGGCGGTAGTGCAATTTTCTCAGAGTGAATTGGTTCTCATTTTTTGACATTCAGACTTGGTTTTCGACCCCCGAACGTGATCCTCACTTAATTTCATGGGCTTCTATTCAGATTTCAAAGCTCCAAATAGCTCGAATTAGCTCCACAATATCTACATAACTCGGAATCACTCCTACAAGTCATAAAACACACAATAAGTACAAAAACACTACCAATTAAAACTCAACACAAGTACGGTGTAGTGAATTAGAGTGCAATAAGCGACTAAAATACGGGATTATAGCCTACCATCAAGTTGAATATTGAATTCTGGACGCACACCTCCGTGAAACTCGAAATTTAAGTAAAATGATCAATGCCTCCACCTCTGTCGATGTATTACCAATAGAAGCAACAATAGAAATTCGACGATGATAAATTTGTATGGTACAACAACATACAAATTAAAAATAAATTTTCGTATAAATTGACACATCTACAACTACATATAAACTAAAAATAAATTTTATACAACTAAATATATAGTATACAACTTTCATACATCATGTTTACCCAGTTAAATACAACTACAACATCATACAACTTAAAAATATTTTTCAAACAAATTTTATACAATATATCTTTTGTATTTTTTTTTATTTATGATTTTGTATATATTTTGTATGTGGTGTGTTCTTCTTCTTCTTTGAAATTTCAGTCAAAACTTCCTCTCTTAATATAATTTTGATACATATTACAACAACTTTATGTAGAAAGGTAGTGTTTATAACTTAAATACAAATTTCATATAATGATTCGTACACTATAGAACTATTTTTTAACTTTCATACAATATTCAAATAAAAAAATATAACTACAATAAAATACAACTTAAATACAATTTATATACAACAATGCTATAACTTTAATACAATTTTGTAAGTATATCGTGTGTCATGTATTCTTCTTATTCTTCTTCGAGTTTCAATCTGAAATTCAGCCAAAATAAAGTCTAAATTTCACCAAACACCCTCAAAATTGAGATATAAACTCCAAAGAATATTCTCAGTTATTTGTAACAATACCCAATCTAAATAAATAATAGTTTTTGAAAACCCAAATTCGAATTCAAAGTTTCGAAGATTTTTAGTGGCTGTCAATGGTGGAGAGTTTAATACCTTCAAAATTTATTGATTGACAATTTCAATTCGAACACCAATTGTGTAACATGAAAGAAAATTGCTAAGTTAAAACTCTATAGTACAATGACTGAAATCCATTGATGAATTCAATTAAAACTATATACAACATAAAAGGATAAAAAATAGAGAACATCAAAATAAGAACAATTGGGTAAAGAAGAGAGACGGAGAGAGAGACAGACGGAGAGAGAGAGAGCATGTATAAAGGGATGGGAAAATATCTGATATTCCTTATTCAATTCCTAATATAAAGAGATACTCATTTAAAATTAATTTGTATATAATTGTTAAATTATATATGACTATGTAATTAAGTTAAAACTTAATTAGGGAGGGTAAATAAGTTTGTTATGTAGTATGAATAGGTAAAAATCCCAAAATAAAAAAGGAGTAAACAGTGGGCCAGGCCCATATATATAACAAGAAATAGCGTGGGATAACCACTTTTTAACATGATATTTAGTTTTTATTCAATATTTTTAATGTTGAGCACAAATAGCCACTACTCTATTAAAATTAATACGAAAAGACGTTGTTACCCTTTCTTCATGAGTGTTGTGTAAATATTAAGGACATAGTGTCCTTAATATTTATACTGCACACATGAAGTTAAGGACGTTGTGTCCTTAACATTTACACTGAACATATGAAGTTAAGGACATGATGTCCTAAAGTTTAACAACAGAAGGTGCAAATACAAGACACTTTGTCCTTAATATTTATACATTATTTATGAAGTTAAGGACATCATGTCCTTAATATTTACACAACACTCATAAAGTTAAGGACACTATGTCCTTACATTTACACTATACATATGAAGTTAAGGACATGAAATCCTTAACATTTACACTACACATATGAAGTTAAGGACATGAGGTCCTAAAGTTTAACAACAGAAGGTGCAAATACAAGTTAAGGACATTATGTCCTTAACATTTACACTACACACATGAAGTTAAGGACGTAGTGTCCTTAACATTTACACTGAACATATGAAATTAAGGACATGATGTCCTAAAGTTTAACAACGGAAGGTGCAAATACAAGACACTTTGTCCTTAATATTTACACAGTATTTATGAAGTTAATAGGACATCGTGTCCTTAACATTTACACTGAACATATGAAGTTAAGGACATGATGTCCTAAAGTTTAACAACGGAATGTGCAAATACAAGACACTTTGTCCTTAATATTTACACAGTATTTATGAAGTTAAGGACATCATGTCCTTAATATTTACACAACACTCATAAAGTTAAGGACACTATGTCCTTAACATTTACACTGCACACATGAAGTTAAGGACACCATGTCCTAAAGTTTAACAACGGAAAGTGCAAATACAAGACACTTTGTCCTTAATATTTATACAGTATTTATGAAATTAAGGACGTCATGCCCTTAATATTTACACAACACTCATAAAGTTAAGGACACTATGTCCTTAACATTTACACTATACATATGAAGTTAAGGACACCATGTCCTTAATATTTACACTACACATATGAAGTTAAGAACATGAGGTCTTAAAGTTTAACAACAGAAGGTGCAAATACAAGTTAAGGACATTATGTCCTTAACATTTACACTACACACATGAAGTTAAGGACGTCGTGTCCTTAACATTTACACTGAACATATGAAATTAAGGACATGATGTCCTTAATATTAGCGCAGGGGTATTTTTGTCCGGGTGGGTAAAAAAATTATTAAGCACTGGCTAAAAAGTTAATACATTTTAAACGGTGGCTAAAGAGTAAAGACATCTCTAATTAGTGGCTAACCGTGCACTTCCCCCTTGCAAGCTTTAGGACGGTCATTGTACAAAGTACATCAAATGGGCCCAATGTTTTAATTGGGTTATTGGGCCAGACAGAGCCATCCCCACCACCGTATAGGAATCGTACCTCCCCCAATTGAAAAGACACCCGTCCATGAATTTTCAGACTTCAATGCTAGCACGAACACTACCACGTTTCAATCCCTGATTGCATCAAATATAAACTGAAGACTAAAAAAAGTGAAAAGACAAAATCACGGTTCAAATTCTAGCCGAAATAAAAATTGTTAGGTGATTTTTTTCATTTGTCTAAATTTAAAGGACAAAGTAAAATGTATCTTAGAGCAACGGTAAAATTGTCTTCGTATGATGCTTGCTTCAGAGTAGGCCGCTTACATTACACCTTTGACATACAGTCCTTCACCTGATCCTGCGTAAACGCAAAATACTTTGTGTACGAAGCTATCTTTTTGTCCTTTTAAGTAACATGTGTGTATACTGATGATAGATAGCATGAACCTAATGGACTAGTTGAGAGTAAATTGATCCGAACATTACCATTATTAAAAAGTATTACTATGATGCAAGTCAAATCAATCAACTTTATCCATGTTTACAAGACAATTATGCACATTCCCTCAGGTTAGAGGAACCTAGCCAAAGAATCGTCCCATTCGAAACCTGTCTGCTACATATTGTAACCTAACATCTTTTTATTTAACTGCGTAGGGGGCCACCACTCACGAGTAGCTAAGACAACCCAATGCCAACTATGTACTCTTATCATCAGTTTCTTTTTTTCTTTTTGGATGCCACATTGAAATTGCCACTAATATCACACTAATTACCTCTATCGATCACGTTCCTATCTCAAACTACTCCCTTTGATTCTTGTAGTATAAACTATTAGGAGACTTTGCGGATTTCCTCCTTAAGCGAAACCGGAACATCTACAATAACTCGACTCGAATTATTGGTCATTATGGACTCCTTGTTTTCACAACCTAATAAATTTCATGTTTCCATAGCCTAATTATCCTCGGAGAATCGAACCTAGCCGTCGTTTGTTTTCCATAAGAAATGTTAGAATAATCTCTTTTCTATTCGACCATAATGATGTATTTATAGATTATAAGTAGGATTTAAGATGAAAGATGGGCTTATGGGTCATCTAGCACCATTTATGGATGGACCCGACCCAATAATATTTTCCGAACAATTTTACTATCTTAACTGTATGTAACTTTGGATGATTCACAATAATTTTATTATTTGAACTTAACCGATATTTTCGGGAATAAAGCTGGTAGCAAGATGGAATATTATACCTCTCACCAATTTCATCAAATATTATGATATTTATAATGCAGAACAGAATTATGTTGTGCATTCCAGTTCTAATACTTGCCAGGAGAAGATTATATATGATGGAAAAGAAAATAACGGGGAAAGATAATAAGCATAGTAGAGATGATAATTTTTCGTTTTATTAGTTCGCTAGCTGATTATAATTTTATTTTCTTTAAATTTATACATGTCATGATCAGTTAGGTTTTAGCTAGACTTCTAGGGGAAGCAATCAAGTTGATCAAAGAACATAAAAGCACGTACCATATGTTTGATTAGTCCATTTACGTTGTCCTTAAATCTATATCACAAGGTTATCATTTAATTTCCTAAGCTTAAGTAGAGAATATAATTATAAATAGTTGAATTATATGCGTTTAATTAATAGAGATTTGGACCATCATCAATATCAAGATCACATATTAATTTGAAGTTGCCTTCAGCATCAAAGGTTGCTTTCAATATTTACTCTCTTAGCTTCTCATATATACGCACACATGTACAGACACTATGTTTTTTTTCCCCTTGTTAAATGGCATTTTTACCCCTCCCATGCACCCTCAACCTTATATATACGTCCATAAAAAAACAAAGACACACACAAAAGAATGAAGACGTGGTCCTTAAACGTCACTCTCTAACTTTTCCTCTTCTTTTCTCACAAAATTCCCACTTCATATCATCATCTTCATCCTTTGTTCTTCTTCTTTTCTTCAATTCCTCTTCCACTTTAGTTTTTAATATGGAAACAGCTGGTCATCATAATATTTCTACTAGTGAAGATGATTATAAGAAGAAGAGAGGCAGTTGCAATAATAATATTACAACAAATAATAACCATATTAAGAAAGGGTCATTAAATAATGGAGGGTCAAGTACTACTCAAAGGTGTTGTCAAGCTGAGAAGTGCAGTGCTGATTTAAGTGATGCTAAGCAGTACCATAGGAGGCATAAAGTCTGTGAATACCATGCAAAGGCTCAAGTCGTCGTCGTCGCCGGATTCCGGCAACGCTTCTGTCAACAATGCAGCCGGTTTGATCACAACTTCCTCTATCTTTTCTTTTCTAAACATAATTACATGGCATGTCTATTCTAATCAGAATGATAGATCTTTAACTTTAAATTATCTTTAACTTTAAATTTCTCATTTTACCTAAGAGATGCTAGAACATCAAGTTCCAAGGACACTTTTGGTATATACTAAAAATCTTTCTTAATTTCTTTTTTTAAACTTTTAGTTAAGTTAAACACTGTCATATAAAACGTGTGGAGTATTAATTTACTTGTTGCATGGTTTACATTCCTCTGTTTTAATATGTGTGCATTGCGTTGATTTTGTTGTTTAGCGTTTCATCCATATATATAATGGTTGAATCGTGAGATAGTTGAAAAGCTGGTAGTTTTAATGTGACTATATAGTAGTACTACAATTTTTCTTTTTGGAGTCTGACTATAGTAGTACTATTAAAAGAATCATTAGTGACTAAATTGTTTTAGCACCTTCTTAATTCAAGGGTATTCGTTGATGTCATTTTCTGTGTCAGCTCTGTGGTTTAATTAGATTAAAAACTACTACCTAGATTGACTTCATAATCTAGGTGGTTGACTAGTTCATGTTTCTGATATGAGTCCTTTTAATATCATATTACTGTTGATCTATTTGGTTTCAAAAAGTGGTTGAGGTAGATGCTAAAAATAGCATTGGAAGCTTCTTTTTAAAGTGGGTACAAAATACAAAGGCATCTTATGCCACCAAGTTTAGAGCATTAATCTATGCATTTTTCTTTTATTTTCCTTTACAGCCTTTATCTTTTGTCTTAGTGTATTTCTCCCTTTTACTACTTTTGTTGTTCCTCATCTTTTCATTTCTCCGATCCTCATGCATTAACAACAACAACAACAAAAATCCGAAAGTGGAATCTGGAGAGGGTAATGTGTATACAGACCTTATCCCTACACTGGAAAGATAGAGATACTGTTTCCGATAGAAATTGTCTTCAAAATTTTGTTATTGAAAACATATCTTATGAGTCCTCATACTTGGCCAAGATCTCGTTGTTGGTTCCTTGTGATGGAGTATTCAGATGACAATTTAGTTAATGAATGCGTGATTGACGTTCCTAATCTAGATATTTTTCTTTTCGTTATTTAATTGATTTATTACGTTATAATTGTTATAAGAGCAGATCTGTGCTTGTAAACATGACTTCAGATCTGATTCGTGGTACTTGTGAATAGTGATTGATATTTTCTGCTTAATTATATATATTAAGCAAAAAGTGGTATGCTTAGATTTGAGCTCTTTCGGTTGATAAATTCTCCTCTTAACCACTGAAGCTTCACAGTCAGTACCTAAAAGATTGTAACAACCCTGCACACCCTGCACATTAGCGATGTTGTCTACTTTGGGTTCAGCCCCGCATGATTTTAAAACGCACATTTAGGGTCTTGTTTATTTATATACCCAACATCTCTTTCGTATTTTGTCAATGTGATATTTGCATGAGATGTCACAAAGATACTAGTTTAGTTACATTAATTTTTCAAAGTAAGTGGAATTAGTTACTTGAAAAGATAAAAAAAATAACTATACAAGTTTAAATTATACCGATCGAGCCAGCATAAAATTATTTTCACAGCTCATATGGACACTTTAAAATGCTTTTACTATAATCTTGATACGGTATTGGACTTCTGTTAATGGTTATGCAAAGCCATAAATCAGTACAGAAAAATATTAAAACCGAGGACTTATTTAAATTCAGTACGTAGTACTAGTTGTTTCTTAATTGTGTCGAGATAATTAAGATGTTCTGCTTTTGGTTAGTTAATTGACTAAATACGTGATATATGGAAGCAGATTTCATGAGTTGACGGAATTTGATGAATCGAAAAGGAGTTGCCGAAGGCGTTTGGCTGGACACAACGAAAGGCGAAGAAAGAGCTCATCATCAACTGCAGAGTCACATAATATTGCAGAAAGTTCAAGCAGAAAAGGGACAGTGCAACTCAATAATAAGGACATTAACATGATATGTGGTCAAGTAAATGACAAGGGAAGAATTCAGATTTCAATTCAAGAAAATTCCACTTTCAAAAACTTCCACCTCCGTTGAAGAAATGCCTGCATATTAATTAATTGCTCTCTCTCTTCTGTCATTCTCTCCAAGTTCTATTCCTGAAATAATCATCACTCACACGGCCATTAGTACTACTGGCTTTATCTGCACTAGAAACAGACTATCAATTATTATGATGATGTATTAGATAGTACTATTAAGAAAAAGCCAAGATTGTATGCTTGTCGAGTAGTTGGGGAGCCCGGTACACAAAATATTTTGTATTTATGCAGGGTTTGGAAAAGGGTAACGTTCCAAAGAGTATAAGGTAGACAACCTACCCTAATACATGGGGAGTAGTTGTTTACATATACCTCTTGATCTACCATCCCTGGCTTTAGATTGATATGATTGCCTTATGATATATGTTAGATATATGCTTGATTTCAATGTAATTAAGTATGATATAATTTCAGACTTGATAAAGATAGTCATAATATCAGTAATAGTGAATAGAGGACTCATCGTAATATCTGTGAAGTTATAGTGAAAAGTTTAAATCATGTTGTGCAAGGAAAGGAAGGTGGGAAATTGGGTATGAATCTGCCTTCCCAGTCTTTTACCCCAAATGTGAGACTTCAGTGCGAATCCAAATTTAATCGGACTCCAATGTGTGATGATCCAAAATGTTATATTTAAATTTAATGATTAATTATGTGATCTAAGCACTATTTACCATTACTCGACTTGCGTGTGCAGTCCGCAAAAAAAAAAGTCCGGAAAGTTTTTAGGTAAAAAATGGATTAAAATGTGAATTAGATATTTAAAACACAACTGAGTTGACTTTGGTCAACATTTTGAGCAAATGGACTCGGATCAGTATTTTGACAGTTCCGGTAGGTCCGTATCGTGAATTGGGACTTGGGCTATTGCCCGGAATCAAATTCCGAGGTCCCTAACCCGAGATATTAAATTTTGATGAAAAATTTAAAGTTTAAGTTCAAATAGTGACCAAATGTCGAATTATATGCAAATGACCCCGGAATAGAATTTTGATGATTCCAACAGCTCCGTACGGTAATTTTGGACTTAGGAGCGTGATCGAAATTTTATTTGAAAGTCCGTAGCGGAATTAGGCTTGAAATGCCGAAAGTTGAATTTTTGGGAAGTTTGACCGAGGGGTTGACTTTTTGATATCGGGGTCGAAATCCGATTCTGAAAATTTTCATAGCTCCGTTATGTCATTTATGACTTGCGTACAAAATTTGAGGTCAATCGGACTTGATTTGATAGGTTCCGGTGTTGTTTGTAGAAATTAAAAGTTTCAAAGTTCATTAGGCTTGAATCTAGGTGTGATTCGTGATTTTAGCGTTGTTTGATGTGATTTGAGGTTTTAAATAAGTTTGTATGATGTTTTAGGACTTGTTGGTATATTGGGTTGAGGTCCCGAGGGACTCGGGTGAGTTTCAAATGATTAACGGATCAAAAATGGGACTTAAACAGCTGCTGCAAATTCTCTTCTGATGTGCAATCGAGCCCCCAAAAATCGAGTCGAGGATCGAAGGCAGGCTCGAGATCCATGATCGAAGGCAGGCTCAATATCCATGATCGAAGGCGACCTCGAAGGCCAGTGACCAAGGCCAGTGATCGAAGGCTATAAAGATCGAAGCTATGATCGATAGCCAGGATTGATGGCTGTGATCGAGCCCCAGGGTCGAGGGCCATGATCGAAGCTATGATCGAAGGCCATGACCGAGGTCCATGATCGAGGACCATGATCAGACTCCCCTTAATCGGACTCCCCAGGATCGGACTCCATGATCGAGGTCCAGGATCGAACCCCATGATCGAGATCACCCTGGACAGATCTGTAAGATAATATTACAAGAAAAGTGTTTCTTGTTCTTCTACTTTTGAGTTGAGATTTTTGAGAAAAATTTCAACATAATATTTTCATTCAATTTGTTCGCGGGTTCATTGATCAAAGAGTTGATAAAAAGGACTGGTTTCGGTGTGGATATGGATAGAGTCTTCGTACTATCGAAGAAATTTTATAACGAGACTCTCTTCACCAGGTACGTCTTAAATCTGATCTTTGACATGTAAAAAAATTTTAAAATCAGGGGGGGCTTCGTCCCATTCGCCATTTTTAACAACTTGGAGCTTGAGCAGAGGCGATTTTTGATATATCTTCAAGGAAAAATATTGGGGTAAGTGTTCTTAACTCAATCTTGGTTAGATTACCTGAATCCATCACTGTTTTTAACATTTAATTGGTGATTTAAGTTGGAAAAAATTTGAAAACCCTCTTGGATAGATTTGAGGATTTGAGGGTCGAATCGTTATCGGAATTTAGTCATTTTAGTATGGTTAGACTCGTGGTTAAATGAGCGTTCATATTTCGTAACTTTTATCGGATTTCGATATGTGGGCCCCACTGGCAAATTTTGAGCTAATTTCGAATTTTATTGAAAAATGTAATATTTTCTTATGAAATTGATTACTATAATTTTTGTTGACTGTATCGAATTAATTATGACTAGATACGAGTCGATCAGAGTCGAAAAATCGAGGAAAAAATATAATACTTGGTTAAATTGGAGCAAGTCGAGGTAAGTGACTTGTCTAACCTTGTGTGTAAGAAATTTCCCTAGAATTGATATTAATGTGATTATTGAAATGTGTTGAAAGTCATGTACATGAGGTGACGAGTGTGTACACGGGCTAAATGTGAAGGATTATATTTTTAAATGGTGTGAATCATTGTTGCGCATTTATTAAATTATTTTATCTTGTTATATTCTTCATCATTGATTTGTGATATATATTTTAAATTTGTTTGCCTTTTTCCTGCTAATTATTTTACCTGTTTAATTGAAACTCGATTTTTTTTTATACTGTGCATTATTTGAAGGTTGATTTTCTTTAAATTAAATATTATTAATATGAAGTATTTGACATTTCTAAATTTGATATTGAAGTAATGTATTAAAAATTTGAAATATTATTTTCCTGAATTATTTACTCTTGAATATTTTCGTAAGTTTTTTTTTGGGTATTCATTGTGATGGAGCCGTGAGCTCTTTATTGTGAAAATAATATTATTGTTGGATTATTCTGGCATGAGCCGTGAGCTCTTTATTGTGAAAATAATATTATTGTTGGATTATTCTGGCATGAGCCGTGAGCTCTTTATTATTGAAAAATATTGTTAATTTATTATGAAAAATCAAAATATTGGGCACTTGAGGTGCAAATTATGATATATTGTGATATTAATACGCATGCAGTGGTGTAAGGTATGGGTATTGAAACGCATGCGGTGAGATAAGGGTGGCTTGATACGCATGGCTAGTAGGGGTGACTACTAGAAGTCATGCGGTGTGATAAGGGTGACTAAAACGCGGGATGCTATTTCGGAAAAAGTGTTTTCTTTAAATAAATTGTGAAGGCTCCCGCGGTGGTATAAGGAAATGAGATATTGTGAAATTATTTATAATTTGGGATTACGAGGCGGTACCTCGGTAGTGCCCTTGTTGATATTGATTTATGGCCATAGTTGCTTTCGATTAATTGTTGTGATTTTCATAAAGTTGAAGGAAATTCTGTTTTGATTCCACGAGATATTATTTGCAATTATTTGGTGTCATTAAATGTGACATACTATTTGATTCATTTCCAATATCATTTTATTTTACTATATTGATAAACATTTTACCATGCCATTATTATATTCCAGTAGGGCCTCACCTGACCTCGTCACTACTCTACCGAGGTTAGGCTTGGCACTTACTGGGTACCGTTGTGGTGTACTCATACTACGCTTCTGCACATCTTTTTGTACAGATCCAGGTATATTTTACCAGCCCAGACATCAGTAAGTTATTTGCGCACGGAGACTTCGAGGTATATCTGCCAGCGTTCGCAGACTCCGGAGTCCCCTTCTATCATTTTATGTTGCTTCCTTATATTTTATTTAGACCTTGACATATAGAGACATTGAGAATAAATTCTTAGAAGCTTGTGATTTATTTCTACCGGGTTTTGGGAGTTGTAATCATTTGAATTGTAGTTTATTTATTTTCAGATATTTATGATTATTCCGCGTTGATAGGCTTACCTAATCTTAGAGACTGGGTGCCATCACAACCTCCTACGGAGGGAATTTGGAGTCGTGACACAATGCAGGTATCAGAGCACTAGGTTCATAGGTGTTATAAGTCACAAGCAGGTTTAGTAGAGTCTTGCGGATCGGTATGCAGACGTCTGTACTTATCTTCGAGAGGCTATGGAACTATTAGAAAATATTCACTTCTTTGATTCCTTATCGTGCGTATTTGTTTACTTCAAAATTTTAATTAATTGTCTTTTTATTCTCTCACAGATGGTGAGGACACGCACAACTGGATCTGATGATCAAACACCCACGCCCCCTGTTGGAGTCGCAAGAGGCCGGGGTCGGGGCAGAGGCTGAGGAAGACCACGTGGTGCAGCCAAAGCTCCTGCACGAACTGCTGCACCAGAGCCACCAGTAGCTCCAGTTGGAGAGCAGGCACCTGAGACGCCTGTTACTACTCCTGCACTTCAGGAGACTCTCGCCCAGTTTTTGAGCATGTTTGGCACTTTAACTCAGGCAGGATTAATTCCACTTACTCCTGCCACATCTCAGGCTGGGGGAGGAGCGCAGACTCCTGCCGCCCGTACTCCAGAGCCACGTGCCCAAGTTGACCATGCCCCAGAGGTTACACCAGTGCAACCAGTTGTCCTAGTTTAGCCTGATATTAGGACAGCAGTTTCAGAGGGGAGCAACTCAGGCTCGAGAGGTATAAAAAGTACCACTTTCCTACTTTCAGCGGTTTAGCTTCAGATGATGCTCAGGGTTTTCTGGAGGAATGTCACCGTATCATTCGTACTATGGGTATTGTAGATTCCAGTGGGGTTTCTTTCACGCCATTCCAGTTTAGAGGAGCAGCCTACCAGTGGTGGCGGGCATATGAGTTGGATAGTCCCACTGAGGCATCTTCACTCACTTGGACTCAATTTTCGGATAAGTTCTTAAGGGAGTATGTTACTCAGAGTCTTAGGGATGCATGGCGCACAGAGTTTGAGCAGTTGCGCCAGGGTTCTATGACCGTGTCAGAGTATGCGGTCCGATTCAATGATTTGGCTAGGCATGCACTAGCCTTAGTTGCTACTGTTCGAGAGCGGGTTCGCAGATTTATTGAGGGTCTTCACCCTGGTATCAGATACAGTATGGCCCGAGAGCTAGAGATGGACATCACATACTAACAGGTGGTGTCAATTGCTAGAAGATTGGAAGGTATGCGGACTCGAGAGAGGGAAGAGAGGGAAGCTAAGAGACCCCGAGATTCTGGAACATATAATAATTCTCGTGCCCCAGTTGCAGCCCGTCATGGTAGAGGTTATGTGAGCCGTCCTATCCATTTAGCACTTCCAGCTTCTAATGGTATTCCGACTACTCCCAGACCTCAGGTTCCATATTATGCACCACTAGTTTCTTCTGTACCTC